ATCGGAGTCCACGCCAGTCTCACAGAGGTCAGTGGGAGCGGCCATGGACTGCAAGGACGGGCGGAGTTCTCCTCCCTCTGCATCCCCAGATACCCTCCCCCGCCAGGGTTCCTCGGACTCTGAGCTGCGGTCCCCCTACCACCCTCCAACACAGAGAGTGCTGGAGAAAGGCCTGGAAGATGTCGTGATGATGAACGTGGACTCCAATATCTTAGAGACGCCCTTCGACGACGTGCAGGCGCTGCCTCCCGATGTGGTCAGTATCACCCCCTCCCCCAGCGTCTGGGAGAGGGAGGCCCCAAACCCACCCACTCAGCGCGCTCCCTTGTCCTCCAGGTGTCCCTGCTGAGGCTGAGGCTAAAAAAGGTCGCGCTGGCCCCAGGAGAAGGGGTGTCCCGTCTTTTCCTCAAAGCCCAGGCACTGCTCTTTGGGGGGTACCGCGATGCGCTGATCTGCAGCCCGGTGAGCAGGGGGGATGCTGAGGAGGAGGCCTAGTGGACCCTGGAAGATAATATCATTTAGAGTGTTTACTCTATGCCTCTGTTTGCTCATCTATAAAATGAGATCCAGATAGTACCCACCCAAACAGATGGTGTGAGTAAAATGCTTGGATAGTGCCTGGCACATCACGAGTATTCAAATGCTAGGTTCTACTATTACTATCTCATTTAATGCTCGTGACAGTATTATGAGATAGGTGCCATTATGGTCCCATTTTACATGTAAAGAAACTGAGGCTTGGAGAAGTCCTGTGGTAGGTGAGTGTTAAACCCAGGACTCTGATCTGCTGACTTTCAACCCCCTCCCTCAGTTTCCCACTATTCTATAAAAACTTGAGGGAGGGGGAAATTCTATCATTTTAAGTATCTGATGTTCCTGTTGGCTGCCTTAACAACACATCTGGAATCTGCCCATTTCTCCCCATCATCTGTCTCCAACCTGGTCTGGTCCCCATTATTGCTCACCTAGATAAGTGTGCTTGCCTCCCCGATGAGTCCCCTCTCCCCGGTTCCCACCCTCACCCTCATAGTCTGTCCTCCCTGAAGCGGCCAGAAGTCACCTGTGAGCACCCAAGTCAGGTCTCCTCCCTCCTCTGCCCTCTAGGGCTCCCACCTCCCTCTGGGTAAAAGCCCAAATCCCCCCCTTGACTCACCAGGTCCTGCACAGGAGCAGGCATACAGCAGGCGCTCAATCAACATTTGCTACATAGATAGATGGTAGAGTAAGGGAGGCAGCTGGTGTCCAGGAGAGCCTCCGGGAGCTCAGGACGAGGATCCTTCTTCCAGGGCCAGCCTGTGACCTTCAGTGAAGAAGCCTTCTTGGCCCAGAAGCCCGGGGCTCCCTTGCAGGCCTTCCACCGGCGGGCTGTGCACCTGCAGCTGTTCAAACAGGTGCGCCAGAGCCCAAGGGCGGGATTGGGACCTGGGGGGCGGGGTTAGGGACGCCACGCCTGGGTACTGTGGGCGGGGCTAGAGTCGGTCTGGCGGAATCTCCCTCTTCAGATTGGGGAGACAGAACTGAACTAGGTTTCTTAAAGTTGAGAGCTCCCGTCCTGATTTCCTAAGGGACAAAATCTACTCCTTGGTCCCTGGGGAAATAAGGGTGGGACCAAGTTCCAGGATCAGGGTGGGAGTCCGTGCCGTCTTCAGAAGTTCTGGGCGTGTCCAGATGCGCACATCCTTTGGGAGGAAGGAGGAGGCGGGCCGGGACTCTGGGGTACCTGGGAGAAGGCTGGAGCGGGATCGGACTCCTGGGTTCCTGGAGGAAAGTGGGCTGGACTCCAGGATCCTTCAGCGCGGGAGTGGGTTCTAGGGTCCCTGAAGGTGGGGTCAACCTCTTCCAGAGTCACTGAGAGGTGGGTCGGTCCGAAGTGGCAGAATCTAACTTCCGGGTCCCTGGGAGGGGCGGGGTCTGGTCCCTGATAACAGGTCCTGACCTGGGGCTATAGGAGGCGGTTGGACCTCTGGCTTCCAAAGGTGGCCTCCAGACCTCCTGGGTCCTGTGGGTTGGCCCCTAGCCGGTCAGGAATGACTTTTACTTCCTGAGGGCGAGAGGACTCCTAGTCCTTACATTCAGATGCGACTCTGATCCTTTCTCCCATCCCCAGTTCATTGATGGCCGGCTGGAGAGGCTTAACACGGGAGAGGGGTTCTCAGATCTGTTTGAGCAGGAGATCACCTGCAGTGGGGCCTCCTCAGGTGAGCCCTGAATCTAGCCCGGAGTCCCTACCCCAGCAGCCCTCCAGCCTGAGCATGCCTGCCATGACCACGCTCTCTCCTCACTCCAGGCACCCTTCGCTCCTACCAGCTCTGGGCAGACAACCTAAAGGTATTGAACACCTTGTTTATTATTGGATTAATTTAATCCCACAACAGTCCCCAAGTAGGGTCATCATTTTACTCATTTATAGAGGTGAAGAAATTGAGGCTCAGAAAGGGAGAAGGGCTTGTCTGGGGGTCACACAATCCTGGAGTGAGGTGGGTCCTGGGGTAACCCCAGATGCCCACACCTCTCTCCCTTGGCCCTCTCTCCAGAAAGGTGGTGGTGCCCTCCTGCATTCCGTCAAGGCCAAGACCCAACCAACTGTCAGAAACATGTACCGCTCGGTGAGGCTGGGCTAGACAGGCCGTTTACTGGGGTGACAGAGGACATTTTAACCCCACATTTAAAGTGCACGTTTTTATCAACTGAATCAGCAGTTAAACCATTAACAACTTTTCCCACTTTCATTTTCCATTCACTATTCTCATGTTTGTCAGGATTTCTTTCCTATTTAAAATTGGCAACCAAGATTCATTGGGTTTTTCCGTTTGTTTTGTCTTTCTCAGACACTGCAAAACCCGCTATCCTTTTGGGGTTTTTCTCCCAAATCCGTTTCCTGGGGCCAACTTCTGCAGCTCCAAATTGTCCATTCAATTTTATTCTTCACTCGGCTTTTGAACACGGACACATTTTTATGATGTTCTGTTTTTGCCACTCCCCATTTCATCTGGGGGTTCTTTCCCCCAGGAACAGTCCTTTTGTATTAGTCAAGGGGCGAGAGTGTGTATTGACTCCTTAGGTGATGCATGGGGAATTGTGAATACATTTGTGAGACATAAACATGAATAGATGGCAGACTCCACTGTTCTAGGGAACAGGGGGCTGAGTTCTCAAATGTCCCGTGTCAAATCACCTCAAATCTAATTTTTTTTTTTTTTTTGGCTCCTCCATAGGCCAAGAGTGGCTTGAAGGGAATGCAGAGCCTCCTGATGTACAAGGTAAAGCTAATGGCCAAGGGGTGGGGGGAATGGAGAAAGGGGCTCCTGGCTCATCCAACCTCTTCCTAGGATAGGGATTCTAGCCTGCAGAGGGGGGGCTCCCTCAGGGCTTTCTCCCTCACCAGTCGCTCAGATCACCTGCAGCAGCGCCTGCCTATCACCCAGCACTTTGGACAGGTAAGATGCCCCGCCTCCACCCCACACACACACCTGGAATTATCACCAAGTCCTCCACCCATCCTCGATCTCCATCTAGACAACTTGCCTCCCTCCTCGTGTACCCCAGTACCTGATGCCCGCTTCACACTCACCCTCCTTCACACAGCTCCCCTGACTCTAGCTCCTGGGGCCCCACCCCTCCAAACCTGTCCTTTGCAGAACCGGCCCCTTCGCCCCAGCAGGAGACACCGGCAAGAAGAGAGACCTTCTGAGTCCCTGGGGGAGAGGTAAGGCTCAAAGGCAGGAGAGGGGGCAATATTGTAAGTGGGAGGCCAGAACTAATGGGGAAGATGATCCCCAAATTTCAAACCTGCCAGAGCCACCAGACTGGAGCTGGGGGTTGGGGGCAGATATCTGAGGCTGCCTAACCTCACACAGGACACCCCCTCTGAGCCCTGAGGCTACCCAGGACTCCTGGGCAGAGGAAGCTCTGGACAGCAGCTTCCTGGGGTCTGGGGAAGAACTGGATTTGTTGAGTGAGATACTAGACAGTCTGAGCACGGGAGCCACAAGGACAGGCAGCCTGCGGCCCAGCCAGAGCTTAGACTGCTGCCACAGAGAGGACTTGGACAGCTGCCTCAGCCTGGTGAGCCCTCCAGTCCTCTCCCACTTGCCCACCCAACTTGCCACCCCCTCCCCCTCTAAAGTCCAGCAACTTGCTAATCTCCCCACCCCCCCCCCCATCCAGCCTAACTTACCAGGAAGACAAAGGTGGCAGCCAGATGAGGAGGACCCCCCAGAACCCCATTCCCAGTCCCTGCCTGCCGGCCTGCCATCTCTGCAAAACCCCCAGCCTCCGGATACCACCAGGTCCTCAAAGAACCTCACTCTCTCAGAGGCCAGCCAAGAAATCACTTCTTCAACCCAATCGTTAACAGCTTCTGCAGACCCAAGCAGCAGCGGGGACCTCAAATCCTCTCTCACAGAGCCCCATCGACAAACCCCACCTCTCTCCCCTCTCCACGAGGCCGCGGGAGAGCCCAGAGGCGAGAAGAGCTCCTGCTCCCGGCTCTCCACAGTGCCCACCCAGCCCAGCCCTCCAGAGAGCCCCCACCCTCTGCTACCCACAAAGCCCAACTCAGATATCACCTGGACATCTCCAACCTTTGACTCTACCTCAGATCTCGGTTTCCCAGAGAGCCCCAGAGCCCCTGCTGTGCCCGCTAGCAACCGGCAGGAGCCCCAGGCCAGGAACCGGCCCAGAGTTGCTGAGCTTAAAAAGTGTTTTGAAGGTTAAGGACCAGGCATCTGGAGGAGATGCCATTCTCGCAATAAAGTCTCAAGAGCCCAAAGCTGGTTTTTCCTGGTGAGTTTACCTGGGGGCCCTCTCTCTGCTCCTAAACCCATCCCATCCACCACCTTCCCCACTGGGGCAGCCTCCTGCTGGCTCCAAATGGTAGTGAAAAGCCTCCCTTCCAGGAAACCCTCCCAGCCCCTAAGATCCTCGAAACCTTGCAATTCATCCTCCACGGCCTATGAGCCCTGCATTTACCTCCTCCATCTAGGCTAATTTCTGCCTCCACCAGTTCAAAAAAAAGTTTTATTATATCTCACTACCAATTTTACACTATATATATATATATATAAAATGTCAGCATCCCCACCCTCCCTTGCCCTCAGGGGCAGAGTTTTGAAGCACCTTTTCCCCTTCTATTCTTAAGCCCAGGTTTTGAAGGCTCAGAGAGGGATCAGCCTTCCCCCAAGGTCACACAGCAAGGGAGGGAGATGAAGAGAGGAAGGGGACCTAGATGGGCAGGCACCCCTGCACTTTCTCCTTGGAGTCCTGGGGAGCCTGGGCCTCGGTTGCGTGGGAGAACTGAAAGGAAAGGAGAGGGGGGTTGTCGGGCCTGTGTGGAGACGGTGCAGCAAGCAGAAAGGCGGGTCCCTAGCACCGGCACCCCCAATTGCAGGCAGAGTCATGCAGAGGCGACATGCTTCGCAGAGCCCGCCCGGCAGGTGCCCCATGGCCCCAAAGTCCAACTGAGCCATCGTGGGCTCGTGTCTCGGTGGTGGATGCTGTGTGGGAGCAGGTGCTAGGCAGTCCTGGGTAGTGGTGGTGGTTGTGGCGGACCCCAGCGTTCAGATGAGCCGCTCCTCAGGAGGCAGCTTGAGGTTGGGGGGTGGTGGCGCTCGGGCACCCACCTGCTCCTCACTGCTGGGCCGGTAGGTGCCTTCTGTCTGCCGCTTCTCCCGCAGTTTCCGCACCAGCAGCACCAGCCCCACGGCCAGAAGCAGGGCAGCCAAGAGGGAGAAGACCACGATGATGGCAGTGGTGGCCTCCTTAGACTGCGAGACAGGGGACAGGTGTGACTTCCCTGAATCTGGGGATCCTGTCTGCCCCCACCTTAGAAGCATCCCAGGTTCCTAATCCCCCCACACACCCCTGCTCCTTTTGGTGATCTGGTTCTTCCACCTGATCCCCATCTATCACATTTGGGGCTCCCAGTCCCCCACACCTGCCATGTCTGGGGTCCCCCTTCCAAGCACCCGTCACATCTGGGTTCCAAGCTATTCCCCCCCTCCTCCCGAGAGGCCTATAGGGCTCCTGACCCACTGCACGTGCCACCATCCACTCCCTTCCTGAGGTTCTGGGTCTCCCCAGTCTGGGCCCCTGGCTCTCCCTAATTGTCATGTTGATACTCTGATCTCTCACACTTGGGGTTCTCCAATGCCAACCCCCATCCTGGCCTGCCACCTCTGGGGATCTAGGCCCCTCCACCTGCTACTTGTGGATAGCATCCTGAATAGAATCCCTGCTGCCCTCATGCCATATATACCCCCCAACTCACCAGGGCCCCATTGAAGCTGGGGTATGGGGTGGTAGTGGTGCTATTCTCGTATGCAGTGGGGTCCAATGCTGTGAGGAAGTGGTAGAGAGAATAAATGAAGCTCCATCTATCACTCCCATCCTGGCACATCTGCCCCCTTCCTTGGGGATTTCCCCTGCCCTCAACCCCCACCCCCACCCCCGTTAGAACTCTGCTCTTCTGACTGTGGGTGCTCTGCATGTCGGAGCCAGGCCAGCTGTACTGCTACTCTGGCCACCCTCAGCCCAGTGGAGCCCAGCAGTGAGGAATCCACCCACAGTAGTTTGCAGTTAGCGCTGAGTTGGGGGCTATGACAAGATGGTGTCAAAGCCCAACTGTCCCCTCCTCTCCCCTCCCCCACCTACCTGGCCTTTTCTTGGCTCTGAAAGATCTGGACAGATCCTGCTTTTCCCTGGAGTATCTATTTGATTCCGCTCCCGCTCCCACCCCCATCCCCACCCCAGGCTCTTGAAACTGGAAGAACTGAATGGCTGGGTCCACCCATATGGCCAGCCTGGTGGTCATCCTGGACTCAGAGCCCCAGGCAGGCAGGCCTCCTCCAGGCTCCCAGACAGCCCAAAACACCTCAACCACAGAGACTCAGATATGCAGGCCTCCTCTGCCTCCAGCTCATAATTCCACCCCAATCAGGAACTCAGGAATTCTAGACCAACTGCGACCCGTCCAAGGAAGGACTTAGGAATTCAAAATCCCCAGCCCTGACCTTGTAAACTGCTGCCCCCAAGGCACTCCATGCCCGCTCCCCAGTTCTTGACCTCTCGGTGTCCCGGGTCCCCAGCGCCCCCGCCGGTACCTACTTTGCCCCCAGACCCGGCCCCAGCGGGCCGGCAGCAGCGGCAGGCCGAGCGCCAGGAGCAGCCCCAGGCTGGGACTCGCCATGGGCCTGGGGAGATAGGCTGGTGGCACCAGGGACAGGGCTTCTTGCGCGCCGCTCCTACCGCATCTCGGGCCAGAGGTACTTACGACTTGGCACCTGCGGGCGGGAGACGGAGAAAGGCCAGGGCGTGGGGGAGGAGGCTTGACCCCGGCGCAGGCCCAGGGAGGGGCGACCCGCGCCAGGGCACCCGGGAGTCCAGCCCCGCCCCGCCCCGCCGCCAGAGGTGAGAGATTAAAAATTAACTCGGGGAAGTGCATTCCTAGGCTCTGGAAAGGGAAGGGGTAGGGAGAGGGCGGCGGCGCGACCTGCCTCCCTACTGGCCGGGCGTCTTTGATCTCGCTCAGGTCCCGGTCTGCTTCCTCGATCGATCC